CTTTGAGATCGGCTTTTACAATACCCTAAACCCTAAACCCCAAACCCCAAAACCCTAAACCCACCAAGAGCTGCTGAACGCTAAACCCTAAACCTTAAACTCCAAACCTTAAACCTAAACCCCAAACCCCAAACCCTAAACGCTAAACCCTAAACCCTGCCCTAAACCCTAAAACCTGCCAAACCCTGCTTACACCGGCCGGATGCCGAGGCCTCGCCCAGCAACGGTGCGACTGGAGAAATCCAAACCGGAGCCGCGCGGCTCGCGCGCTCTGTTGATCGGAAGCTTAAAGTTTACTACCTCGGAACTTTACATCCCCAAAGCTTGAACCCTTATAAACCTTAACACTGAAGCGAAATACCCTGACTTGATCCTGACGCCCTGTTGGCCCTATGACCCACAACCGTACTTGTAGCCTTGACAACTCTAAGAAACGCTTGACAAGGAAAACATTCAGGCCTTTGTCAACCTGTTACGTTTGGACCCTTACCTGTCGGACACCCAAAACTCAAGCTCCTGAACCATAAACTTGAAACACTCAAGCGTCGTAAACCCCAGACACAACAAACGTTAAAACCCGGAAGCCTTGCTGCATCCCTGTTGAGCCATGAGCCCTTATCAGCAGCATGGTTTCCAAACAGATTTCGACTCGCAGGATTTCTAGGTTGTGACATATACATATACACATACACAGAACCCTCAAAACCTTGAACAACCGCAAAAGACTTTACACGCACAAATCTCCAAAACCTCAACAGTCCTGAACAACTACAAGACCTCAAAAAGCCTCTGTTGGGTGAGACGCTTGCTATTGCATGCTATTGCCGCTGAAGCTACTATTGCTGCTGCAACATCGGCAACAGCCTCCACCAGCACCACCACCATCACTACGACTACGACTGCGGGCACGACGACTACCACGGCCCCTACCACTTCTACGCGGACTAAACCATCAAACCCAAAAGCCTTCCCACAACAATGTATGCTGCAGTGTTCGGATGCCTGGCATGGAAAAGACGCGATGTATCTGCAACTGCTTCAACAGGCATTCCGAAACCATCAATCCCTGACCTGCCCGGGCTTGAATCTCTGAGATCCTCATAGTCGCAATGACTTGTTTATCACGACACGATTTTCTCATGGCACAGAAGTGAGTCTACGGAGGGTTGCGGTAAAACCACCAGCATGCTGGAAGAAACATGAACTAAGATGGCAAATGACTGGAAGCCATGCCTGATGCAAACATCAGGTTGACCAGGTGCGATCCGTAACCCGAAACCACAATCCCAATCTTGTCCCGAACAGATAAAGGCTCCTGAAATGCAACGCTGAAGTTTGGGTCGATGCAAGTACTTGCTGAACTGCTTTTGCCCCGTCTTTTTTGAACACCTCAATCTCATATGCTGCATTTGCTTCAGCTTCTGTTGGCTTCGTTGGACCTCAGCAACCTCTGCAAGCTGTGAAGATGGCCAAACCGCGGCTTGCGCGTTGGAGCTCTGAGACATATTCCCGGATATGGCGGCCGAAGTGCACTTGTGCATCTGTCTGTATGCTACGTTGGAATTAGAAGATCTTCTTGATGCGCTTGCAAGGACGGAGACGCGCCGGACGTCTGAGACGTGGACAAATGAGCAGGACCTGATCACCTCCTGTATAGGCCATGTCTCTACGGGCTTAAACGCTCAACTCGGGCTTGAAGTGCCACCCATGTCCTTCTTCGAGAACGCGAAGGCGTCGATCTTGATCGAGAGGAGCGTGATCGAGAAGAACGCCGTCGCCTGACGCATGAAAGCCGCTGGCTCATAAACTGTAAGCCTTCGACCCCCGACATAAGTTGACATGTTCCTGCCCACTTTGCTCGCCTTCTGGAGCGGGAGGGCTGGCGTTGCCTGCGCATGATTGCTGCTTTCTGCGTGAAACGCTTTTGCGAAAGAAACCACATAGCGGACTGCCATAGACTGCCTGGACTCAGAACGCCACCATGTTTCCCCAGCTTAAGCAGGGGCCCCTAACTTCGATGCTCTTGTCCTGTTCTACCATCCAGACACGTGCATGACAAAGCTTGAATCTCTGGCGGCAGATGCGCACCGTCGACGGCTTGCTCCACCAGCCGGGTCCAAAGCACCTTCAATCAAATGCAGCTGGGACGGACAAGTGGGCAATGGAATGACCCATGCTACCAACAAATTCGATGTCTTGCACCTGCAGTTGCCTGCGGGCTCTGAGCAATGTACCCTGCAGTGTTCGGATGCCTGGCGTGGAAAAGACGTGATGTATCTGCAACTGCTTCATCCTCGAGACAATCGGCCTGCTGTCAAGATGCGCAAATGCCGGGTCCTTCAAGTGCTTGCGATGCAAGCAGGACTGAAATCCCACAAAGATTTGCAGGAAACTGCTCCACGAATCGGCACCAGACCAAAAGTCGAGAGAGTGATTACGAGTTGGAACTCGGCAGGAAATAGCTGGCGTGTCTAGACAGCAATCGCTTCCCTGTGAGCGGGCATCGAACGAGCCATGGTGGTTTGGAGCGGGAAATCTGCCTTGAAGCTTGTTTCGTAACGGCATCGAGCATCATGGTGCATGACAGTCCGTTGACTTGCCCATGCCAATGTCAGGCCTGCGCTGGACCTGAGGCGTGCTGCGGCGGTGGATGATGACCTGCTGCAGAGCACTACCACAATCGTGCGCTGCATACAGTCTCCAACACAGCTGGTCGCACCATATGGGCTGGACCTGAGCCAGAACTCAGGTTGCGGCAAATAGGATGCAAGCAGAATGCTTGTGGGTCTCGAAAGACTGCAGACAAGACTGAACTTTGGACTCACACATTTTTCGTTCTTGATCGTAAGTCTAATCCGCGTGTTGCGTTGCGTGTCATTGTATGAGCAGAGGATAGCGGAGGGAATCCAAGCATGGAAGCGGCGCCGCATTTCGAACCTTTGCAGCATCGACCTCTCAGTTTCTGACGCTGCAGGCGGCTGGTGCTCGTGTGGAGGGTAAGTAGGATATCCGGGCTGACTGGGGTAGCTGGGGTAGGCGGGCTGACTTGGGTAGCTCGGGTAAGTAGAATACACTGCAGGGCTTGGTGTGGGTAAGATGGTGGTGCGGGGCCAGGCGGGCAGCCATGCGGTTGTGGTGGGTACTGTGGCAGGTACTGCGGCTGATGTGGTGGAGTTGCGGCTGCTGGAGGAGGGATGCTGTGAGGGGCATAACCCTGCGGGCTTGGATAGCTTGGATAGGCCGGTGCCTGTGGCGGCTGAAAACCTGGTGGCGGCTGCGCGGGAGCATGTTGTGGGGGCGGCTGGTATGCCGGATGCGGCATTGCTGGAGGTGGTTGCTGCTGCAACGGCGGATGGATGGGTGGTGGGTATTGCTGTGGCGGATATTGAGGCTGCGCCTGGTGGGGATGTGGCGGCGGGTGTGTGGGTGGATGAGGGTGAGGAGTTGGGTATTGGGGGTGTGCGTACTGTGGCTGTGCTGGTGGTGCATGCACCGGCGGGGGGTATGTTGCTCCTGGTGGTGGATGTGCATGTGGCGGATGTGGCGGTGGTGGCCAGGCGGCAGGATGCGGATGCAGGATCGGTGGACCTCTCGCAGGCAGTCAGGCCGTAAGAACCTTCACACCCTCGAGAAGTAGCTACCTTTAATGAAAGCATGTGCGCCACACACGGCTGGTCAAGAAGCCTTGCAAAGGAGCCGGAGGATCTGCGGCTGCCTCCCGCTCCGACGACCTTTGCCACAGCAAACAACGAGTCGACAGCCCGGGACACGGTGAAGCCACTGCTAACTGTTCCAGGTGTCAGTCCCTTTACGTGACAAGCTTTCCAGCCGCTTGTTGGTTCCAGGGCTTCACGCGGGGACCGTCTCCGTGTCGGGGCATCGCCGCGTCGGTGGATCAGGTCATGAATCCTTGGCAGAAAATGAGCTGCAATCGAATGATCCTTGTGCTGCCAAAAGCGAGAGTCGCATGCAGGCAAAAGATCGGTGCAAGTAACGGCATGCAACAGCGGCATTAGGCAACCTGACAAAACAAGCGCAAGTTACGCCATATCCTGCAGGTGTTTCAAACCGAAAGTACCTCTGCTGCGGGTCGGAGATAGTCTTTGGCGGCCTTTAGGGAGGAAACGGAGACATTTTCGGAAATGCTCGGAAAAAGGCTGCTTTTTAAGCTGTTGGGACCGCCCGAATTGAAGCTGGTTGGATCAGGTAGGCTCATGGTCATACTGGATAGAACAGAAATGTCCGTAATCGAATTAATTACTACATGAAGCCAAGTGCACAGTGCGAGCTGACGAAGAAGATATCGACAACCCTTGTGAAAGGAGATGCTAGCAAAGCCAGCTCTGAGATGATGACCGCTGCACAGCATCTTTCACTGCCGAGTCAGAGCCTGAGATCGTGACCTGAGGCTTCAAAAGAGCAAAGCCACAAAGCACACACATAAATAGATAAATAAATAAATAAATAATACATATATATATATATATATCACACTCTCTGCGACTGTTTTCGGACATGCGAAGTTCGGCCGTCGCAAGATGTCGCAACGTGCACAAGGCTTTGCCCACCTCTCGTGGCTCCTTCCCGTCCGGCCGCTCCACCTCGATCGATGCACCTGTCTCCTGATGTCGAAAAAATATCGTGAGGGAGGGACGCACGGGGAGGTTGTGGAGGTGACATGACAAGTCCTCTGTCAAGCTTACGCTCTGTTACACTGCGCCAGGCCTTCCGCAGCTGAATGATCGTCGCTCCTCGAACGATGAACGATGAATCCAAAGGTTGGTAGAAGTAGTAGACGCAGTAGTCATACAGCTCTCCAATCTGCACCAGTGGTCCGTGCACCCACCTGCTTTGCCAATAAGTGCTCCGACCCGCCGAACTGGACAGCTCACCTGACGAATGCCATGCCGACAGCGGTAAATGCCCCATACCGACCTGACAAGTCTACAAGCTGAGGCCATGGACCGTAGTGGTGATGTCATCATCCCGCATCCCCTCTGGGACTTGCACGTGTCTGCCCCTGTGTACTCCTTTGTCTTCGTGTTTTTGGGGAGTGACTTGGGGGACGTCGATGCACCAAAGCAAGTCTTTGACTCCCGAGTGAGAGAGTTCTGAGTAGCACTCTGACCGGTGTATCTAAGCAGCACTCTGACAAGCAGACCAGCATGCTCGCGACTTGCATACTCTCGTTCTGCTGACTAGAGCCAAGTGCAATGCGAAGTAAATCACCTGTCTTTGACTACATTGACTACGTGTTTGTCGAGCAGCAGCGGGCATGTGGAGTCATCAAGCAACTTCAGTTGTCGGCATACCTCAATGTTGTGCTTCCAGCGTGTTTTACGCTGGTGTGAGAAAGAAGCACAGCCGGCTCGAACAGCTACTGTACCAACGACGAAGATTGGCGGGTTGATGGTTAATTGTGTTAGCAGGTGCACACGGAAGATCTTTGTTCCGGCATCCCGCAGCTTATTCCACGATGACTCAGGCAGCTGATCGCAGCAATGGCCTCCGGCAATTTAGGAAAAGGGATCTCAGTGTCTTCTCTAGTCACATTAGGCCTCGTCTGCACTTCCGGCAGCTCTGATGGAGCCATTGCCTGAAAGCGCTTGGTGTGTCGCACACATGTTTTTCGGTGTACTCGGTCTTGAAAAATACTTCGGCAACCGAAGGAGTTTAAGGCAGAGGAAATAGCCAGCCCATGCTAAAGCATGGTTTCTATCGGTCGGATACCAAACCAGCTTGAAAACTAGGTAAAAGAAGGGTCTGCACATGTGTGTCGGTTCCCAAGAGCATGCCTAGCGTAAACAAGGCTGAATCAATTTCTGAGGCGGAAAAGCCTTTGTTTGCGCCTTTGCTGCAGCCTGTTATGTTTTGCAGAACGAGACTACCGGCCTGCATGCAACGATATGTGGTGTGCGGGTCGGAGGACAGCGGGATTCAACAACGGCCTGCCCTGCTCCTTCTTCCTTCTTAGCCTTCTTGGTTTACCAAATCCAGGCTAGCATGCTCGATTGCATAAAACCCTGGCCGCTGCCTTTTCTTATCAGCTTGTCCCCTTCATTTGCTTTGTACGCGTCTTCGTTGGAACATCTCCAAGCGGCGTCTTTGGGCGACTGGCGAGCCGACAGGAGCCAGGAGCCACGAATGCAATATCTGAAGCATTACATATCCCAAAATCGCTGCTCCGCAGTGCAACTGTGTTGGGGTGCCTTTGCAGCCGTGACGTAGTCGAAGCGATTTCCCCTGCGTGGCAATTTTCGTAGCTGACAGCGGGGCAATTGTGCAAACTTGCATCCACTTCGGAACGAAATGACTTCATGACTGCTGTTCCCTTCCTTCTTCCGCAATCATGACATAGGCATGCAACCAGCTGAAAACCATCCTGAAAGCAACGTTCCAGAAGGCCAAAATCTCAGTGACGATGCCGTAGGGAAGCACCTGGCAGCAGGATTGCTCAGCTTTCTGTGGGTGGACATTCACATAATCACAAAAACACAGGCTGTCATTTCAGTTTGGTGTAAGTTGCATAAGTAATATGTACAACATTTAACAGCATACAAATGCTGTAAACCAGTTGCAGCAGCAGTAGTAGTAGCAGCAGTAGTGGTGGTAGTAGTAGTCGTCGTCGTGGTTGTAGTAGTAGCAGAAGTATAGTAGAAGTAGTAGTAGAAGAAGAAGTAGTAGTAGTAGCAGCAGCAGTAGCAAGAGTAGTAGTAGTAGTAGTAGTAGTAGTAGTAGTAGTAGTAAAGTAGTAGTAGTAGTAAAGTAGTAGTAGTAGTAGTAGTAGTAGTAGTAGTAGTAGTAATCCCTTCCCCCTAATATTAAAGGGGGGGGCCGCCCCCCAATAGATATTCAAAATATATTTTTATAATTAGGGGGTATTCTTATCGCTATTGCCAGATTTGGGTAATTAGACTAGTCATTCAAACAAAGACAGACTCCCGGGCATTTGAGACGATTCCTAAACCTCTTCAGAAATCCACGATTTCTAGAACCGCTGCTTG